CGGTAAATCACAGCACACGATGTACACAGAGGCCAAATCATGGCAGCTATTGGAAAAGCTGCTAGAATCATTCTGAGCACCTGCCCTGTGCCAGGCCCTCCACTGAGGGCCAATGTCCACTATCCTAAATCCTCATGGGGGCCCCATCCAAAAGGCAGCCAAGTCACCCAAGTCTGCTGGGGCTCTGCTGTCTAGGCTTAGGATCCTCCCCGGGTGGAGGCGGGCTCACGCACAGCACCGGGGCACTAAGGCAGAGATCCTGCAAAGACAGCACGCAGCGGACACTCGAATGTTTGCTGAATGACTCAAAAGGAACAATAACAGAGGCTCCAAGAAATTCCGTGCGTCGCCCAAGACCACACAGCCAGAAACGAAGCCAGAACTTGAACCCAGGTCTGTCAGGCCCCAAAACCAGTGCCTTCATCCCTCCAGAGTCCTCATAGGTACAGGACAAACACTCTGAGCAAGGAGTCCGAGTAGACCACAGGCCACACACGGCTGGATCTGGCCTGCAGCGGTGCTGTTTGGCCCACACATTTTAAATTTGAATTGGCTGCCAACTCTTACAAGTCAGGAGATTTACATCAAAAGCATTATTTCCAGCTTGTTTTGGAAAAACAGATCCAGAAACAACGGAGTGACAGGCATGGACACTCCTATTTGCCCCAAGGGCTTCCGCTGCCTGCCGTGGGCTGATGCAGAACTGTTATGTCAGGGGTTTACCACCTACCCTGGCCACTGATATGGATAACCCAAGGCCCCTCCTTTCAGGTGGAAGGTTCTAAGCATCTCTGACCATGGGAGGCAAGGAAGGCTTTACTAAGCCCTCAGGCTCTGCCTACCGGACACTCGTTTACACATACCCACTGTCCTGACTCCCAGAGAGAGCAAGCGGTTAAGGGTCTTACCTCGGGTTGTAAGTGACGCGGCTGGGTCTAGCTCGGGCCCATAGGTCTCTTCCCCCACTGCCGCCACCTACCTCTCCACAAAGGTCCCAGGGGCTGCAGGACCCACCCCTGCCATAACCCGGCCTCTCCCAGCTAACCCCGCCCCTCAGCCCCACAGGGAGCTGCAGGAGACCTCAGCCCCTACTCAGTCTGCACCAGCCCCCACAGGCATCATCTCCCCAATCTCACAACCATTCTGACTTCACAGAAAAGGACCCCACAGCTCAGAGACGCTAAAGGACCTGCCGAGGATACAGCTGCTGTATGGCAGAGTCAGGATATGAATCAAGGTCTTATGATTCCAGAGTCCGCACACTCGAGAACCAGCAGCCAGCCAGCTCCCCTCCCCCAACACGCTACCCTCTCTGAGGCCAGGCCGGCAAGGAGCAGGTTTGAAGCAGGCCCCCAGGGCTTTTCCTGCCCCCTCAGCCAGGCTCCCACCTTGATCTTCTGTTGATAGATGTTGTCATCCTCAGCATACTCCTTGTACAAGACCGAAAGCTCCAGACGCTCCGAGACCAGAGGGTTCTGCACTGCAATCTGCAGGGGGGAGGAAATCCATCATGCTCTGGCAGGTGGATGGAGTGACCCACACCTAACAGCCAGAACACCTAAATGAGGGGTGCTGGAGCAATTACCCGGTGGCACAGTGTCCTCTCGCCCCTGCCACGGCCCCCCTCACCCCCCAGTAAAGACATCCAGTACCCAGCACAGCTTGGAGAGGAGGAGGCTTCCAAAGCAGAGATAAACAATAGGCCTCAGGCCCAGCCTATGCTTCCCCACAACAGGGCCACTGGCCACAGCCCCTCACCTCTTGCTGAATTCGGTCCTGCTGAGCCATGATGGCTTCATCATAAGCAAGACAGTTAACACCTGGAAGAAGGAAGAAAGCCAAGGATTACAGTGGGCCCCAGCTATCTCCACTCCAGGCAGCTGGGCCAATGACAAGAGCGGCCCAGGGAGAGCAGGCATGGAATCTGGAAGTGTGCATCTCACTTACACCCTGCTCTACCAACCGTGTGATCTTGGCAAAGTCCTTTCCCCTCCCAGCCCCTACTGTTCTCATCTTTAAAAAGGAGGGGGCTGAGGTGTGCTCCGCTCCAAGGTGTGTTCATCCAGCTCTGACACTCCACCCCCCCCCCCCCCCCCCCTCTCTTCTAACGTCGATTCCCAGCCGCCTGAGAATGCTCTGGGGCCAGGCAGGGTCTCTTGGGGGAAGTGAGATGAGGAGGCAGGGTTCTGGGCTGGATGAGAGCTTCCCATAAGCCTGCATTTTACTCAGTCACACCCTTCCTCCTTCTGCTGTGCTGGGTATCCTTAATGCCCGTTTTACAGATAAAAAAAAATAATAATAATAATGCAGACAGGTGAAATGATCTGCCCAAGGTCACAACTAGCGAAGACCTGGGCTCAAACCCAGGTATGTCTAATTCTGAAGTCTGAGCTCTTGATCATCATACCTCTCCTGGGCTACCTTCCTGTAGAGGCCTTTCCTCAACTATAAAAGGGGGCTAATACCACTACTTTTCTCCCCTCTATTGAAATGTTAAGAGAAGGAGGTGGGACCTTGGAGGCAAACTGTTAAGTGTTCACCAGTGAATTGGCAGATCCACTTGTGGACCCCACCCTCCTCAGCCACTGGCCAGGAGCCAGGAGACCTGAATTCTGGTCCTGGCTGTTTTCTTAACTTATGTGATCCTGAACAAGTCTCTTCTGGGGGCCTGCGTCCCCCAGCATTCAGTCTCTCAAGTGTCTGGTTAGAAGGAGGTGTGTGTGCTGAATGACTTTTCAGGCCAATCCTTTTGAGCCAGAGCATCCCTGATCCTCAGCTGGGCCCGGACTAATCCCCTACATCGGGACAGGGCTGTCCCACCCACCCCCAAGTGACCCACTCAGTCCCCAGGGCCTAACCATGGGTGGAAAGAGGGTGGCACTGGTTTTGAAAGGTCCAACTCCAGAGGTGTAGGAAAACAATGCCTAGGCAGGCGGAAAGGGGCTGCAAGGCCAGAAGAGGGGGCTCTACCAGAAACGAAGGCTGCAGGCCTCAGGGGCACACACCGCGGCCGCTCACAACCCCTGACCGCCCGCAGCATCCCAAGCGGCCCGCCCAGTCCTTTGTGCTCCGCAGCCCGGCGTAACTCGACGCCCTCCCGGGCGCAGACTGCCCTGGAAAAGGCGGCGGGGGGGGCGGGGGGCAGGCTCCGGCCTAGGCCCCGGCCTGATTGCAGGGACTGGGACAGGAGGGATGGGGACCCGGGAGCCCCGCGGCCGGCGTGGAGGGGCTGGGGGCGGGGCGGGACGGCCCAGGCCCCGCCCCGGGTGCGCGCGATGGGAAAGAGCCGCGGGCCCGGGCACGCCCCGCTCGCTCGCCGGCCAGCTCGCCCGGCTGTCCGGGGGTCGCGGCGGCGGCTCCTTCCATTGTGAGGGGGAGGGGAGGTGGCGGCGGCGGAAGAAGGGGCAGTCCGTGCGTTTCGCCCCCGGCCTCCGGCGGCCCCGCCCCCAGCCTCTGCGGGAACCGGCGACCTGGCATCGCCCGTGCTAGCCCGGGCCGGACGGCCTTCCCTTGTTCAGTACCTTCGGAGTCGCTGCCCAGCGGCTCCTGCTTCTGCTGCTGAGGTTCCTCCGCCGCCATCTTTAAACAGCGCCGCACTGTCGACCGCTTCCGGGTTAGCAGTTGCCCTCCTCCCGGAAGAGAGCCCCTCCTCGTGGCCCCTCCTTGGCAACGCCCCTAGCGACGGGATCCCCTCCGGCGGAGTCACCTGTGAGGCTCGCTGTCAGGTGTGGCGGCCGCCCCGCCCACCCCCCCACCCCCCACCATCTTCCCTATTCCCAAAGTTCCGGTGGTAAGAGGCTTCCCGGAGCCAATTCGGATTTCTTTTCACTGGAGTTTGAAGAGCGGATTGTGTTACTGAGATAAGTGGGAAGATGAAGTTAAAATCACTCCAGAATGCTTGGCAGCGATTGCAGTGAGGAGAACCTGGCCGAGGAGACGCAATCGTGCCAACATCCGAGCCCCAGCACATCACCGTTCGGTTCCACTGAGCCTAGCTTCTGACTTTGGTGTCCCGTTCCGGCAGGGAGTACATGTCCCTTTGGGTCAAGGCCAAAGTCTTGGGACCTAACTTTAGACTCTGTGCCTTTTTGGTTATGAGAAAAGCAGTCTTTTTTTTTTTTTTTTAAGTTGATAAAAATGGAAAACAGATTAGTAGTTGCTACGGGCTGAGGGAGGGGGAGCGGAGGGAATTGGATGTGAGATCCTTGTGGAAATGGAGGTGTTCTTTTTTTTTTCTTTTTAAGTTTATTTATTTTGAGAGAGAGCTCACGCATGCAGGGGAGGGACAGAGAGGAAGAGAGAGAATCCCAAGCAGGCTCTGCTGTCAGCCCAGAGTCTGTTGCGGGACTTGATCCCACCAACCGTTGAGAGCATGACCTGAGCGGAAACAGAGGGCCAGATGCTTAACCAACTGAACCACCCAGGAGGCACCCCTTAAGATTTTATTTGTAAGTAATCTCTCTACAACGTGGGGCTGAAATTCACAACCCCGAGATTAAAGAGTCGTTTGCTCCACGGACTGAGCCAGCCAGGCACCCCTGAAATGTTCTATATCTTGACTGTGAACCCCTGGTTTATGCCGTACTATCATTTTGCAAGATTTATCAATGTAAAAGGTACATGGGATCTGTGTAGCCTATTAAAATTGCCTGTGAATTATCCAAAAATAAAAAGCTTAAAAGGTGGCAAGGCTGGGGTGCCAGGCTGGTTCCGTCAGTAGAGCACATGACTCTTGATTTCGGGGTGGTGAGTTTGCACCCCGTTTTGGGATAGAGAATTACTTAAAAAAAAAAAATTAAGCGGCAAGGCTTTGGATGTCAAAGATGCTGTTGTTGAGAGAAGTTACAGCGTGTGGCTCAGTTTGCCAACGTTTCACTGTCGAGGGCCTTCTTCATTTCATGAGCTACCTCCTGTCCTGGGGTAGGTGCCCTTGGTGCCTGGGCTCACCACACAGCCCACGGTGGCCTTGTCACCACATCACTGCAAATGCCAAATTTGTATTCCAGCAACACTGCAAATTATTTATTGGATCATTGAGCCTTGGCGTTGCTTCTAAGCTCAGGAAAGCAAAGGGTCCACCCTGTTTGGACCCACGCTTGCCAAAATGTTCATTCCTTTTCTCAGTGTTAACAGTGAAATCTCTTCACTGGCAGTCAGATCTTCAGTTAGAAGCAGTATTCTTAAATGGAGAGCTAAGACCGTTGATGACATGATTTCTATTTGGCTTTTCAAAATCTTGAAAACTGCCATAAGACAACTTCAACTCTATGCCCTCTTATTTTGACCAGGGAGTCGATGAGGCATAAAGGGACACGGGGAGCTGGGTTCCGGACTAATGGTCAGGACAGGGAACACTGGATTTGGTAAATCCTATCCTCTCCTCTCCCTCTCCTCTGAAGAGTGAGAAGGAATCCCAGTGGTGAGCCTGTGCTGGACCACAGCCAGGCTGCTAACACCAAGTAAATACCTCCCTCCTGGGGGATGTGGGCTTGAAAAACCGATGTACAGGGGCGCCTGGGTGGCTCAGTCGGTGGAATGTGGGACTCTTGATCCTGGGGTTGTGGGTTTGAGCCCCACATTTTGTGTAGAGATTACTTAAAAATAAAATCTTAAAAAAAAAAAAAAAAAAAGTTGGAAGGAAACAGCCAGACGGGAGGCTTTGGCTCTTAACCTAGCCCAGGATGGTCAACTTTTGCCCAGTCTTCTCCATGCTGATTTATTTGGCAGTTAATAACCGTTTTCTTACCCTCACTCTGTCTCTTCTATTACTCTTACCATTTTAAAATGGGCTCTGATTCTCTATCCTAAGCATCTGAAGTCCAATTACATGTTTGCCAGGAAGTCACCAGCATAGCTCCAGGCGTTTATCTCCATCTCCCAATTTACCAAATCCGGAAATGGTCCAGTGCTGCTGGCCCTGACTGCCAGGTCTTGGATCGAGACACGTCATGTTCGCACTTGGGTTCGGACTGCTGTTAAATACAGTCACAAAGGTGACAAACGGCAGAGGACTTTATTTTCCATTGTACTGACAGGGCAGGCGCCTCCTCCTAGTCCTGCCGGCACACCCCAAGTCCATGTGTGAAGGAATCTGTCAGGTGGAGGGAGAAGAGACTCCATACCAGGACCCAGACTGAAAGCTCAGCCCCAGAGGGAGAGTTTACGGAACAGCATGGAGGCTGTAGGGGGCCCCATGGCTCCCAGGCCCACAACCCACTCTCACCTCTGGGGGCGGTGGGGGAGGCCACGTACAATGACCCAGCACAGGTCCTAGGACAGCCACAGTCCCCCAGGGAGGCCATGGCCAGGAGAAAGGCTTCAGGGTGGACCACAGATGAGGGGTCAGTAATCCCTCCCAAGGTGGGCTTGGGAGTCCGGCATCTGCCCAGATGGGAGGAGCTGGGGCGTGCCGGCCCCAAGAGAACCTCTAGAGCTGTTGCCACAGGAACCCATGATGGTCCACAGACAGTCCACTCCACGATCATGGTCTAGAGAGGCTTTGATGGTGCAGAGGGCAGACTGGTGAAGCCGAGCAGGGGTTACACGTTGGAAGCTGCTAGCTCAGTTGATACTTGCCTGCAGGGTCCGGGCCACCTAGAGCAGAAAGCAATTAGAGCGGGTGGTGATGGCCAACGGAGAGCCCCCCCCCACACACACACACACCAGACCCACAATCCCCACCCTCCTCATTTGGGCACTGTCCTCCTGTAAATGGTTCACATTCCAGTTCACTTCTGTCTGTTGAGGATCCGATCCGCTGGAGCCAGCCCCTCCCATGTGAGCTTCATGGCACAAGGAGGACAATGCATTAGTCTCCTTGTTGCTGCCGTAACAAATCACCAATCTAGTGGCTTAAAACAACGCAAATGTAGAGTTTGACAGTTCTAGAGTCAGAAGTCTGGTATGGGTTTCACGAGACTAAAAGCAAGGTATCTGCAGGCTGTGTCCCTTCTGGAAGCTCTGAGAATCTGCTGCGATTCATGCCGGTTCTTGGTGATTCGGCTCCTTGCAGCTGTAGGATTAAGGTCCTCGTGTTCTTGCTGGCTATAAACCGGGGGCTGTCCTCAGCCTCCAGAGGCCATGGCATTCCTTAATTCGTGACCCACTATCTTCAAAGCCAGCAACAGCGGGGGAAGTCCTTCTCAGGTGGCATCTCTGAGATACTCATCACCTGCTTTTCCTGTCCACCCTAAGGACACCTGTGATCACAGCGGGGAATCTCCCATCTCAACATGCTTCACTTTCATCACACCTGCAAAGGTCCAGGGCATGGACCTCTTTGAGGGGACGTTTTCCTGCCTTCCACGTCACCGTCATTTTACAATCATGAAAACTGAGACTGAGAGGCTAACTGACTTGACCAAGGTCAGGTAATAAATGACCAAGCCAGGTCTCAAACCCAGGCCTCCTGACTCTCAGTACTTTTCTTGACATTATAGCATCTACCGGGACTGCAGCCTCTCCCGACCCAGGGTGCACTCCCGGGGCCAAACGCACCTACTCCTCCAGACTCCGGATCCAACAGGACCCACAGCAGGGACTCATAAAGTACTATGTGGAAGTACAAGAAGCCTTGTGTCTCTGGAGGGAATGGACCCAGAGCCCCAGTCTGGTTAAGAATGGGAGAGGGACACTGAATGGTGGCCAGATTTCAGACCTAGTGGCCGCACTGGGGACCAAGGGGAGGATGGGGTTCAAGCATGATTGCACCCTACACTCTCTCATCCACCCCCACGTATGCCGTGGGACCGAGCAAGCTGGGGCAGAGCAAGAGCCAGAATTGCTGATGGGCTTGCTAAGGGCCTTCTCAGACTCGGGGGCCCTAAAGGACTTGCCCATAACCACTGGTTTCCCATCAACTTGAGCAGTGGCTGGAGATGCGCAGCTTTGGGCTGGAGTTGTCCTTCCGGGACAAGGGGACCACTGTGGCCCTCTAGGCTCCAGGGGCCCAAAAATGGGGGACACCCAATAAAAACTCTTGTCAGGGCAGTGGTGTCATCTTAGAAACTCCAGACCATTCTCTTCTGGGGTCATGTTCTTGCTTCACGGCAGCTCCAAGGCCTGATCTGTGCCCACCGGAAACCTGAGCCAACCAAGAGCCAAGTAGCTCAGAGCCCTCTGCTCGGGAAGTGTGAAGAGCAAAGCCTCTCAGAGTTGAGGCGCAAGACAGGAGCGACCCTGTTGTTTGGGAGGACGCAGCCAAGAGGTCCCTCCCTGCCAGAGACAAGGGCTCTCGAGGTACCAGCAGGTGACTGGTGGGTGCCCCTTGCTCAGCCGACCCAGCCTGGCCCTTCGGATCCTACATGGGCTCTCCCCCTCCCCTGGCCAACAGCCCAATCTGCACAACCTCCCGGCACTCTCGGCCCCGTCCCTTGAGGCCCAGACATAAAGGCTGGTTTGCGTGGCAGGAAAGCCTCGCAGGAGGCAGACAACCAAGTCCGTACCCCTCAGGGAAGGAGTCACGGGCAGGAAATGGACCTACCACGTTATCCAGTGTGGAGCACTTTAATGCATCATCCCACCTGCGGAGGTACCCCCCCCCCCCCAGCACCCCTCCCCTGCCCCCGCAGGAAGCATCCCTGAGGAAGGGCCCTGGGATTGGAGGAGCAGCAAATTCTCCAGGCCAAGAAAGGCAGGAGACAGGGAAACAGGCAGGCAGCACGAGGAAGGCGGCCAGTCCATAGGCACTTCCGGATAGAAGACTAAAAGGGGCCCTGGGGCTGACACGAAAGAGATAAAGCGCCCACCTTCCGACTGGGAAGAACCAAGAAGCTCCTGAGAAACAGTGGGAGCCCACAGCCGAGGAGCGAGGGGAAGGCTGCACCCGCAGTGAGGGCTTCCGGCTGCAGGGCTGGACCCGGCAAGAAAGACAGAACACGGACACCCATGCACGGCGTGGCCCCGAGCTTGGAGCCAGACGGGAGGAGCAAGGAAAGGTTGCCCAAGGACGACAGGATTTGTTTTCCCAGGAAGCCAGAAAACGCCGAAACGCAGGAAAGCACGCAGGGGAAGCCCCCTCCACCTCCAGGCGGCAAGAACAGCAGGGCATGCATAACCCACCACAGGACAGTCAGCCAGCAGGGACATGCGGCTGGCCAGGCCGTCTTCGCCACACCCCCGCCCAACACCATCCTCAGCTCAAGTACAGAGGCAGGAGCCCGGGCCGAAGACACGATGCGTTTCTGAAGCAAGGTTTAAATACACTTTATTGTTACAAGGAGGGCCCTACCGAGCAGGGCCTTATGCGCTAACATATGTGGTCCCAGGGCATCACCGCGGAGACATCGAGAGGTCATGATTGCAGAAGAGGTCGCTGTAACTGAAGGACATGATCCAGGGAAGGCTGGCCAGGAATGCAGCAGACCTGATCGGGAGAGGCCAGGGGTGGTCAGGTCACAGGGTGAGGGACAGGCCAGCCCCCTTCACTCCCGCTTCTTGTAGCTCTCCAGATGTGACAGGACCCAGCCCGACGGCAGGAGGAAACACACGAAGCAGGAGGTGAGCCCGATGGCGACTTCCTACAGACCACAAGAAAGAAGGAACCCGCAGAGTAAGAATTCCCCTAGGCTTACCAGGCAGCAGAAAGCCCCTTTCAAGGAGTCAGGATTCAGGCTTCTGAGGAGGGGCATAGCAGATCCAAGGCCCACTCTAGGCCTTGAGGTGAAGGGTCAGATATGGGAGTGGGGCCAGCCTGTGTTAGGATCCATAGAGAAATCCACCACGAGATGATAAAGCAAAGGGACAGGAACAAAGAGTTAAACCTGTTTGATCTATTGGGACCCAGGAACCATGCACAGGCTGATAACCCTAAAAATGCACCTCTCCTTCTTTGCCTTTAAAAACCCCTCTCCTCAGGGTGCCAGGCTGGCTCAGTCAGATCATGCGGCCCTTGATCTCAGGACTGCGAGTTGGGGCCCCACTCTGGGTGTAGAGCTTACTTAAAAATAAAATCTTAACAGCATCTCTCTTCCCTTCTCCTTTCCAGGACTGCTCAATTCAACCTCTAAGGCTAGGGATAAAGACCTCCACATTCCCTACTGCAGTAAAGATCACAGCACAACTTGGGAGTCAGACTTGAGTTCAAATTCCTTCTTTGCCACTGAAGGTTTGACTGTTGACAAGTGGATACGGTGCTCCTAAATTTCAGTTCCCTCCACCACGAAACCGAGATGATGGCCATTTCTTCTCAGGGTCACCGGGACCAGCGCAGCAGTCTGGGCAGTGTCTGGCAGGCAGTGGGCACTCGGCAGATGCCAGCTGCAACTATTATCACTATTATTTCCTCAATCGCAGCTGCCCTTCAGGCTCTGCTCCTAACTGGGGCCCAACAGCCTGGATTCTGAAGACTCGCATTCGAGGCGGGGTTCTGCCGCTGAGGCAAATGCATTAAAGCGCCAAACAGGTGAGAGTCGTTAAGGGTTAAACTCCCACATTTCTGGAAATTACAAAGACCCACCTTCCCTAATCATTAACAGTGGTAACAACCATTATCGCCGCTGACAGTCGTTACGCAACCCCCATGAGCCGATGAGTAAACAGGCTCAGAGAGGACTAAGGGCTCGAGGCTGCACCGCACGTAAGCGACAGAAATATGCTGAATCGAGCGAGATTTGGTGTTGAATGAGCCCCAACTGTCGCCCGGGTACTGTCCCTCTCATTCGCGCCCTCCAGACACCCCCAAACCACTGCTGCTCCCTGCTAGGCTGCGGGCCGCGAGGTGCAGGGCACGCTCAGGGCCGCCGAGGGGCAGCACGCCAGACCGGCCATCCCCGAACTCGCCGCGGGACCCCCAGCCTGGCTCGCTGCACCTCCGGTGCCTTTCCCGGCCCACTCCTCACCATGGTCCCGAGCTGCTCCTGCGGAGGCTTGGAATGGATCTGAGCACGCTGCACCGGGAGCCGCCGGGTTAGGCCTGTCAGGCCCCTCAGCAGCAGCGGGGTCAGTACAGACATGACCGCAAGGAATGACTGCAGACAGTGGCCAACAGTAGCCCAAGGTCGGGAAGTCAAAATGGCGGCGGCGGCCGGAAGTTCCGGCTCTGGGGAGGCCGGGAAAGGGCGTCCCGGAAGCTTCCCGGTAATGACGCAGGGACACACCTCCCACGTGCCCCCGTCAGTTTTTGGCGCGCTCCTCGAAAGAGCCAATCGACGCCATCCTGCCGCCAATGGGCGGGGCACGGAGGGGCGTTCCTTTCAGTTATGCCCCACCTCCAGTGCGGCCTATCTTCTTGAGTGACACCTAAAGCCACCCAATCATATAAGACAGAAACGAGGCGGCATTCTTGACTCCTCCCTTCATTCATACTCTTTAAAAAAAAAAAATCTCTCTATTCAGAATCCTTCTCCGCCAGGCTTCCATTGTTTCTGGCCGGAACGCCTGACACTAACCTTGTAATTGAACTCGATTCATTACTAGTGCCCTCTCCAATTTCAGTCTCCATGCAGTGGCAGCTGGCCTTTCATCCTCTTCCTTTCTTCTTTCCTTCCTGGCTCCCTCCCTTCTTCCCTTCTTTTTTAAACATAAATCTAACCAATCCGTGTAACCCACTTAAAAAGCTTTCAGTGGCTCCCGACTGCTTACTAGACAAAATCCTAATTCCTGGATATCAAACTCCAGCCTCATCTCTACTTCACACCTTTCTTCTTGCTTTCTGATCCTCCCCACTCCCAAGCCTTTTGCTTCTTTGTATCTTATGTTCTACTTAGAACACTTTTCAACTCTCACCTAGCCTTCCTTTTTCACGACACCAACTCCGACCTCCAGACCTCCACTTGCTGACACAGTTTACTTTATTCCACAAATAGTCACTGGCCCCTACTGTTCCAGACAAG